ATTTAGATATATTTATTTCGCTTCGTGTAACTATCAATAACCATTTATTCTTAATTTTACTTTTTGTGGCATATTATGCCCAGAAAATTAGTTAACCTACTTACAAGCTATGAAAAAAAAAAAAAAAAAAAAATGTGGAAAAAAATGGTTATCTCGAAAGAAATTAATAAATAACTTAGGCATAGTCTATTAATTTACATGGTATCATATGCGTGCGTGCGTGCGTGAGTGCAGGCGTGCGCGCGTGTCCTCTCAGAAGGCATCGCCCGCATACCAGGGATGCACCCAGGGCGCCGACGGCGGCGGCGTCGGCGGATAAATCGTCGGTGATGGCTGCCCATGTGCATGATGGTGCGCTGCTGCTGCCGCTGCCGCTGCCGCCGCATTCATATGATGATAGGGCGCTGAGAAGGCGCCATAATAGGAGGCCGCTGCCAGTGCCGCAGCAGCGGCCGTTGGCGACGCGGCCGTCGACGACGAGTGCGTGGACGAGGCGGGCGACAGGCTGGCAATGCCAGCGGCACAAATGCTATGCCGCCGATGCATGATCGCCTGCCGCTGCTGACGCTCTGCTGCGGCGGCTGCTGCGGCGACACGCGTGCTGGTCGTCTCCATTGGTGCAGCGCGACGCGCACGCTGCTGCTGCTGCTGTTGTTGTTGCTGTTGCTGTTGCTGCAACTGTTGCTGGTGCTGCTGCTGCAGCTGTTGCTGTTGCTGCTGTTGCTGTTGCTGCTGCAACTGTTGCTGGTGCCGTGTGGCGGCCACATCCTGCTGATGCGTACCCAGACTCCAGTCGAAGGCGCTGCTGCGACGCGCCTCCTGCTGCGCAGCAACAGAAGCTCCGCTCAGCGGCGGACTGAGCATATTGGCTGCTGCCTTTCCATAGAGCGTGGACAAATAGGCGTGCTCCGCCTCGGCCATCTGCTGGGCAGCGGTACGGCTGCTCTTGTTGCTGTTGCTGCTGTTGCTGCTGGCAGCGCTGCTGCTGCCACTGCCGCTGCTAGCGTGCTGTCGCTTCTTTAGTTGACGCTGTTGCTCCTGTTGCTGGCGAGTTGCTGCTGCTGCTGCTGCGGCTACAGCTGCGGCTGATGCCGATGTTGGTTGTGTTGCACGCAGCTCTATTGGCGGCGGGTGCGGGCGGTGCGATTGTTGGTTGTGGGAGTACAACATTTCGTATGTGTTGCTGCTGTGTGTTGCTGTTTGTTGTTGATAGTGATGCTGATGCTGGTGTTGTTTCTGTTGCTGTTGCTGATGCTGTTGCTGTTGCTGATGATGTTGCTGGTGGTGCTGTTGGTGGTGCTGTGGTGCTGGTGGCGGTGCCAAATGAGCCATGTGATGAGATGCGGGTATTGTCTTATGTTGTTTGTCTGTAGCTGTTGTTTTTGTTGTTGTCATTATGTTACTGTTGTCTGCTGCTGCTGCTGCTGCTGCTGCTGCTGATGATGCTGCTGTTGTTGCTGATGCTGTTGCTATCGGTGTTGGTGTTGTTGATGTTGGCAAATGTTGTGCTCCCCAGCTTAATTCCTAGCTCGTGCGCGTGCGCTTCGACGGCGGCTGCTCCGATTGGCGTGTCATGAATGTCAACTGCGTCATGTACTTAATGATGTCGCGCACCTGCACCAGCGGCATATTCTCATTGTAGGAACGATCGTGCTCCATCAGTATTTGCACCTGTCGCCTGTGTTGAGCAGACAGAGAGAGAGAGAGAGAGAGAGTTGGTAAGAAGTGTAATTAGTATTTGGATTGCAGTCGCTAGGATTCTCATTTTAATTCTATCTCGTTCACTCATTCACTCGCTACTTCTACTCGCTGCATTCCCTACCTACTCATACTCATATACCCAAGTTATTCGCTATATTTACTCGCTATGTCTGCTGGTTGCTTTTTTAAGCTAGAATACTCTCTACTCTAATAAACTTCTGTTGCTATTTATTTCTTACTCTCTACTTTGATAAGCTTATATAGATACATACTTATATACCCTATCTCAAATATACACCCTAACTAAATTAACCCGTCGCTATTATTTGACATATTTAGTCGCTAATTTTATACTATTATATCCATTATTTCATGATCCCCAAAATGACTTTTATCTATTCTCTTCTAACTCTTCCCAAACGAGGCAGATATTCTTCTGCCTCGTGTTCTTACTAGCTAGATATAATCACGCTCGCTACATTTGATAAATGTATTCGTTATTTCATTCTGCAATATATATCCGTTTAGTTGACACCTATTCTCTTAATACAGGTTATATATGCATATCTCCATTTGTGGAGCTCCCTTTACTCTCTACTCCTACTCGCTACTTTTTCTCGCTGCTTTTGCTACAGTACTCTATCTGCCTTCTTTCTCTGGCTGCTTTCTCTAATTACTGAGCTATTTATAGGTACACCCATTAAACTAACTAGATGATATATAGTGTCTGAGCTTAACTTACCGATTCGCCTTGTAGAGCTCAACGCCGAGCGCCTCAATCAGACGCTTGCAGTGATCCAGTGCGACAGTGGGGAAGAAATTCTTTTGGAACTCGGTGAGGGTCATCAGCTGCTCGGATTCATTGTAGGCCTTCATGTTGATACAGGGCACCAGATGCTTGTCCACGCACACCTTGCGCACCTTGTACGGCGTGGGATTCATGTTGCTGGTCTGTATCTCCGGTATGACGGACAATCGATGTGCCCCATCGCCGGACGCACTGGCGCCAGCAGCGGCCACCAGTGCCGCATGCCTTTGCAGGTGCATCGAGGCGCTGTTGGCGTTCGAGTTGCTGTTGCCGCCCGAGGAGCTGCCACCATTGGAGGCAGATGAGCCACCGCCGCCGCCGCTACCACCGCCACTATGGCCGCCATTCTGCTGCAGATGCTGGGCATGATGGGCCAGGGCGGCAGACATCCGCTGATGCTGCGCCGCCACAGCCTGTTGCTGCTGTTGTTGTTGCTGTTGCTGCTGCTGTTGTTGTTGCTGCTGCTGTTGCTGCTGCACGGCTGCGGCGGCCTGCTGCTGCTGCTGATGGAATGTTGAGGCAGCTAACGACCTTCGGGATGAAGACAAATCGATAACGTCAGTGGGCGTTGTGCTGGGCGTGATTGTGGTGCTGGCGATGCCAATATCCAACTGGCAATTGCCACCACCAGCAACACCACTGATACTAAATGGCTGATGACTGTGTGACTGACGACCGTAACCACCGCTAATCGATTGCGATTGCGAATGCTGTTGTTGTTTGTTGTTGTGACGCGCACCGCCCCCACCTGAACTCCCGCTGCCGCCCCCACTACCGACGCTACCGCCGCCACTCCCGGCCAGCGACAATATGGCCAATGGCAGCGCATTGGCTTTCGTTGAGCAAATGACACTCTTTTGCCGCGCACCACCGTTAACACAATTATTGCTGCCACCGCCACCGCTGTTCCCCAGCGGCGAGGCAGCCGTCGTGGAGGCACTCGAACTGGAACACGAACTGGACGGCGAGTGCAGAAAATGTCCCGGCAATTGTGGTGTGATCGTCACGTTTGGGTTCGAGGCCAGCGACAAGGTGGTCACATTAGCACCACCAATCGCCGGCGACATGGGTGGCGAGATGTACGCGTTTAGTGGATTTGAATTATTATTATTATTGTTATTATTATTATTATGGTTATTGTTGTTCGCATTGGTCTGTATGGAAGTGGAGAGATCTGGATTGGCTATCACCTTGTGTATGACGGCTCGCATCTCGTCCGTCATATTGAACTTCTTTTCGAAATCCTCCAACGCTTGCGTGGAGTTCAATGGTATTGTGGTGACACCACCAGCACGCTGCTTTCTGCTAATCGGTGGTGCGGGTTGTTGTTGTTGTTGTTGCTGTTGCTGCTGCTGTTGCAGCAACTGTTGCTGTTGATGATGTTCATCCGATATCAATGGTGGCACAGTGGGCTTGGTAAATGTGCCACCCGATGCACCACTTGCCTTGCTGCTGCTGTTCTTATTGTTCGTCTGCTTGTTCGGGTTGTTGTAGTCGAGCATCGTGATCAAATCGGTGTCCAGTGGCAGCGATGGCAACGCCGGAAAACTGCCACCTAGTGGAGAGCCATGCGCTATTTTGGGCGACGTGCTGGCAACGCCGCCACCGCTGCCGCTGCTATTGCTGCCACCGTTGGCGCTGGCGCTGACGCCCTTCATTTGTTGCGTCAGCATCAGGCGCTGCGTCGGCGTCAGCTGGTTCCAGAGCGCCAGATTTGTGTAATCCGCACGTGTGGAGGGCATATTGTAATTGAATGGACTGCCTAGCAGGGCGTGCATATTGGCAGCGACGGCGGCAGCGGCAGCGGCAGTGGCGGCGACAGCAGCAGCAGCAGCGGAGCCAGAATTTGAGGAGCTGTTGCTGTTGTTGTTCTTGTTGGAGTTGTTGTGCGTACTATTATTATTATTATTATTGGTGTTGCTATTATTATTAATGTTGTTGTTGTTRTTGGCAAGGACATGGCCATGATGGCCACGTGAACTGTGCGTGTTTGGGGAGTGTTGTTGTTGTGCATGGTTAAATGTACTATGGTGTTGTTGTCGTTGTTGTTGCTGTTGTGTCTGTTGWTGTTGTTGCACCAGTGATTGCTCGACATTTGACCTAGAAACATTATATACAATACATGAGTCGCATTTAGCTTGGCTGCAAAATTTCTAGTTTTTTTTTATTTTGATTTTTGTTTTATGTTATCTATTAAACATTTCTTTCTCCTTCTATTCTTATTTGACTGTTTTAAAGCATTTTTCAAATTTTGTTGATACGCGCCTAACAATATTTTCAATATAAATATGCACACACATACACATACTCAGGCACACGCATTCACTCACAGCTGTTTTTTATTTCTGCATGGCAAAAAAAAAAAAAAAAAACAGTTAGTTGAATTTATGCATTCATCGTTAAATATTTATCGATTATTTGCAACGTTGCTGCGTGCTCATCGCCTTACTGCTGCAGCTGGCTGGTTTAGTGCCTGCCAAGTGTTGCCCTACTTAATATAGTTTTAGTTCATTATTAGCGCATGATTTGAACGTATTTGATCAAAGCACTAACAAAAAAAAAAAAGTTTTTAAAAACTATTATTCTTTTATTTGCTTTGGTTAACTTATTAATTATTAAAGCCCTAGACGCTATGAGCGTTAACGTGTGCATGTTTATCTGTGTGTGTATTTCGTATACATCGAAATCAGCAAGTCCAATGATTGTATTGTGTATGTGTATGTGTGCATGTGTGTGAGTGTGTACGTGTGTGCATGTGTATGCAATGAACTTTAATTTAGTTACAACTTGCAAGTTGCAGCTTCACAGCTTGTGTTTTATCTTGGTTTCAACTGGTTTTATTTTTGGTATAACAACTTTCTTAAATTATATGATTTAAGCCTTTATATTGACTTAGAAGTTTTTATATACAAA